GCAGTGGCCTGCTTATTGATTGACTCATGAGCCGTTCTGAGAAACTGTAGAAGCTGATGAACTCTTGCGAGAGTATTCCGGTGCCGATGACATTCGTCTCTGAAAGCCGTGGCCCTTCTGTCAGCATCTTCACAGGCTGCCTCGAATGGGTCAAATAGTTTTGTGAAGTGGGCTAACCGCCACACTGCCTACGCCTATCCGCGCTTTATTTTTGTAGGCTTCAGCAGTGCTGAAGCAGTGGCTCCATCTGGACGATGGTGGCCTTTGTATTTATTGCTGTTATTGCGGTGTCATCTGACAGCACCAAATGGTAACTGGCAGGTGCAAGATGCAAAGTGCAAAAAAGGAGGCGATGCAAGGCAAGGAACCCGCGGTCACAACTGAAACCGAGGGCCCTTAAGGGTCAACCGTCTAATCTCAGCACGTGCGGCACGCTGCTGAGCTGGGGTATGATCACCACGTCTACACAACATAGCATTTTGCCGACGGCGTGGCATCTGCAGCACTTCAAGAAAGGGCACCAAGGGCGCCGAGGCTTCTCTCTGGCGTTTTTGGGCATCGAGGGCGCGCTCCAACTCAGGCCGACTGGCTTCGGTCTTAATGACTAATGACGGTTTCGAGGCTGTGCAGCAAGTGCTGTGCGTTATCATCTCCGCTTTCGCCGCGGCCGTCCGCTCAGCAGACCTGGCAGGGGCTGAACACTCACACTGAGCAGCGAGCATCCAGTGGCCCTTACAACGTGCATCACCACAGGACACACACAGTGTGGACGCTCAAGCAAGCGCTCAACTGCAATAACATGGAGAGCTTTGTTGCGGGCCTTCTCGTTATGAGCAGTACGTTTGGCAAGGCGCCAATTCATCTGCATGGCAGCTTGCTTGGTACCAGACGTGACTTCCCCTTCGGGACAGTCCTCCTCGGGCCCAACAACTGAGGGGGTACTCTTAGTTTTGCATCCGGCGTCGAGGAGCAGCTGCAAAGCCAGAGAGGTCAGGGACTTAGGCGGCCTTGGCGGACCAACGAACGAGTTCCTCACCAGCTTGCACTGCAAGCAGTGGAGGCCCCACTGCTCCAACACAATGCTGACAGAAAGAGGGTTGAGCAGACAATCATGAACCTGCATGGCCTCAACTTGCGGCACCCACAACGGGCCAATAACGGGTGCAGCCGCTTCGAATCAGGACCATCAGCCTGAAAAAGTGGGCACCCACACAGGTAAGCAAACCTGCGGGTGGCCCGCTTGAGGGCGCGAGTCAAGCTGGAAATAGACAGATCCCCGTCAGCGGGCGAAGAATGTGGCACCACGCGAGATGGCCGCATCACAGGCAGCGACAGCCCAGGGCGTAGGCAGACACATCATGATGAATGGTAACTTGCGCCAGTTGAAAGCATTGGTGTTGCCACGGTTAAATTGAGTCTTGTGTTCCTTGGGGCGAAGGAAATTGCCCAGGGCCAGCATCAGGACCAAACAAGCGGAAGAGCGGAAAGCTTTCAGATACTGACGTAATCGGACTGACAGGAGCTTCAGCCGAGGCCTCGCACGGAGCCTCAACATCTTCCGGTACGTTCGTTTGCTCGCCAAACAAGTTATTGCAAGTCACGTGCTGCGTGCGAGCCTGGATGATGCGAGCGAGCACAACGTGCACGGTCTAAGAGGATGCAGCCGAAGGGGCATGACGGGCAGAAGGCACGTAGTGCCAGCACGGACACGACCATAAGACATATGACACACGTCCTTGTCATCACCATCGCAGAAGAGACAGCTGGCACTGGGCGCCAGCCCAGCCAGGTATCGCACATATGTGCTGAGTGGGAATCGCACCGCAGAGCTATGATTGTCGGCACGGAGAACGATGCCAATGACATCAAGATCAGCAGCAGTGACACCGACAAAGTCCTTACGACGATTTTCCGCACGTTTCAGCACACGTAAGGAGTTGCGGACGTGAGGGAGTGGTGAGAACATCGACATTGACTGGGCCTGTGAGAGCAGGCACAGTGAAGGACCGGCGTCGCAACCGCAACCCAAAGTCGGCAGACGGCGGCGAAACTCGCACACACGCCCATGGCCACGGACGCAACTTCTGTGGGTGACAGCCCTCCAAGTAGCAAGCCACACTGCTGCGCCGAAGGGCACAGAAAGAGGCATAATACACGGCCATCTCAGGGTCAAAGACATGACCTTGGAAACACATGGTCACAGCAGCTTCCGGGCAGCGATGCGGTTTGCCCTCCCACACGACACGAGCGCCGGATTGCTCTACCAGCTCAACAGAGATGAAGGTCTGGTGTTAGGCGCTCAGAAGACGTTTGCATGGCATGCGTCGCCTCATGAAGCGCATGTCTTCTGGGATGCTGAAGCCCTGCCTGTCCAAACTCATTGGACTTTACTTGGCACTGATATGTCAACTACGTCACAACCTTGCTCGTAAGGCTCGTGCTCAGGAGGTTATGCGCCGCTTGACCAGGCTTCCCTTGTGCTCGCATGAGCGTCAGTTTCCTGCTGCGTCTGCTGCTGTGGCAGCTTCGATGGTTATGGTTAGACACCATCTTCGTATCTAGAGGTTGGACGCGAACAACGAGAAAGGGCAACCGTGTAGGACCCCTCTGTCCGGCCTAAGGGCAAAACGCTATCAACAGTGCGGCCCATGCGGAAAACACGCTCGTGCCGAGCAAAAGAGGCAAGCCATAAACCAACGTCTTCCGGGCACATGCCAGCATCCAGTAAGAGTTGGCCAATGCGCGGGGGTTGCAACGTATCAAAGAACTTCCAAGAAAATCCTCAGTGTACCCATGCGGGCGGAGAGCCGGTTCAGTAACTCAGTAGGGTCGGGAACTTCACCAACCAAGAGGCGTTCGAGCTGAAGCTGCATTTGCAGGTACATGCCCGCACAAGTGCGACCCGGGACGCCGCCGAACTGATTGGCATGAACCAGCGCGGGCATCGCAGTCTTGATCTTTTGCAAAGTGGACCACGCCCACAGTCGATAAGCCACGCGCGCCGCCGAGATGGGGCGAAGCTTGGACACCTCCTGAATACCACGGCAGCCATCTTTGGTGATAAAAACGGTGTGGGCCGATGCAAGGACATCAGGCCAAGAGGAAGCCTGAGCACAGCACTCCAAGCACAGGGACGAAAAACCGGCGGTACGAAGATCCATCCTTTTCCACTGAGCAGATTCCCAACCATCGGACCCCAGCGGAGGACGCCTTAAGCTCACGGTTAAAGCGCATCAGCATCCCAGGACCCACACCGGGCTGGCATTTGACATCTGCAGGATCGATGGTCAAGCAGTACTGTTGTGCACGCACAGCCTGGGCAACCTCCTCACTGGGCAGAGCGTAAACCGGGACCCAGAAGCTGCGAACAGCCGCAAAGACCGCCTCAGCACCGCAGTGAAGGACATCGTTCTCAAAAGCAGCATGAACCTGTTCAAGATTTTCCCCACGAGTCCACTTAAAGACGCGGGCTTGATCAACACTCCAGTCCGTACGGATGCACTGCTTCCAGGCAGCAATGGCGGGTTGGGGCGTTACTACCACCGATCTTGATGTGCTCATGGTTGAGCTCATGTGCTCTCATGGCGAGCTGAAGATTGTCCTGTCTACTTGCCACAGACACAATTCTTCTCGCATTTGCTCTGGCATCGCGGACATTTTGGCCACTACATCGTGTTCGAGTTTTGGCCTTTGCTTGAGGTCCAAGAGATACCCATGTTTACGTAGCAGGAGGCTCCTTCGCAAGAGGCGGAGTCATGCCCTGTGTGAGGAGGAGCTACTGTTGCTGTCATCACTTGGGTGTGACGACATCGCGCAACCTCGGCACACGCCCAGGGAAGCGATTAACCGGAGCCAACCGCTGTGAGCCCAACACGGGCTCCGCTATCAAAAAACTGACCCGAATATCCCCCCTTCGGTGGAAGGATACGCAAAAAGCTTGCCCTTGCACGCGGACAGCAGAGTTGGTTTTGCTACACCCAGAGAGAGCTAGTGTCTTGAAACCATTTGAGACAGAAGCGGTTACGGCGCATACATGCAAGTGTTATGCCACTGCTGCAAGTACATGACATGACTGTAAGTCCTGACCGCCAGGGAGGGCGTTTGGGATTGTAGAATACAAGGGGCGCAGGGGAGAGGAGGGGGAGGGAGAGTGAGAGAGAGAGAGTGAAGGACGGTGTCGAGTTGCCCTCTCTTGGACCCCGGCCCGGGATCCCGGGCGTAGGCGGCACGGTTGCGCTCCTGGGTCTCGAGGCATTTTGGCTTGACCTGATCAACTTTCTTCGGCCTCCAAGCCGATTTTGTCCGGGAGGTCGTACGCGTATAGCGGAAGCCCCTGGGCGTCCGAAGTTCTGACACCGTTCTGCCCGCCACCACTTGCCCCACTCCCCTTCTTGAGCTCGAGTCTGTCTCGGGACGAACCACTCGAGACGGTGAAGGCGCCAATGCCTCACCTGCCAGAGGCATCACGCAGGGATGCCGGTACCAAGGCAGAGAAGGACGCAGGCAAAATGGTACCAGCTCCTGCTCGTCCCGGCTGTGGGAACAGGGAGGCCAGCAGTGGCTGCACCTCGGGCTTTTCGCTCTGGACTTGGATTCTTTGGACAGCAGTTGGGCGCCGCGCTGCAATCCAACTCCGGCGAGGCCTCGGTGCGCCTCAGCCGGCTGAAGGGCACAGCATGGCACAACCCGTGCAGGAGGATGCCGTAGGCTAAGCTCAGGGCTTAGGAAGCCTCTTGACTGACTGAGAAATCCCAGCAGCACCAGGCCCCCCAAAAAAGCCTGGAACAGAAGCACTGCTCCGAATCTGCGAAGTCTCCGACACAGTGCCTGGCCTTGGCCTTCAAAGGGCGCCCGCCGGTTTGCGCTGCCATGGCAGGCCGAGAGGGGTGGCAAAGGGAAGAAAAGGAAAAGGGGCTGTATGCGCGTCTTTTCGAAGGGTCCCTATCTGCCCTGCTTCGTATAGCGGCTCAGGGTCTGCAGTTCCTCTGGTCCAGTGATCTTCAATTCAAGCAAACGCTGTCTGCAGAGCTCTGAGCCTGGTCCTGGTACTCGATACTCTCTGCATCCTTGATCACCTTGAAGCCGAGGCCTTCAATGCCGGAAGGTCAAAACCCATTTTCAGGGATTACCAGCGCCTTTGTAGTACCGGACAAGGCGTTCATGCTGTTTGTCTTCATCATAGATGGCGAGAAGAAACGCCTGGAGCAGGAAGGCAAGCCTTTTTCTGAGGCCAAGATCCGAAGCAGCTATCCGCCTCCTTGCAGAAGAAAGGCGATCTCTCCCTGTTCCAGCCTTCAGCGCCCGCTCTGCAGAGAACAAGCAGACTCCCCGGCACATCAGGGTGCGGCAGGCGATGGCCATTGAAAGCAGCAAGCCAAACCAGCGTGCTACCTCTAGAGACACACCGATAGACGTCGCATAGCGCGAGAACATCGAAAGGGTTCCGGTAGCCCGTGCAGCCTTGGCCACGTCGGCATAGCGCTTCTTCTCCTCTCTCATACAGAGAGACTCTGCGCTTCGCGCCAGCAGTCGGAGAGTCTCGGATCTCACTCCCGGCCTCGGCCTCCATCGCTGCCTGATCTTCTGGGCTCGTCGGGGCTTCGCCTCCCCTGGCAAGGCAAGGGCCCAGGGCCCAGGCAGCAGGGCCCAGGCATAGCTGAGCACGCTCTCCGAGAGACTTCGCATGCTGGCCTGGCCGGCTTGGCGACCCAGTAGCCGGTGAACTTCCGCACCTGCCCCGAGGTGATTGCATCTGGCGCTGAAGTCGCAAGGCCCCTGGATTCCATGCATGCGATTGCACGGCGACACCACCAGGGCCTCGATGGTCTCCAAGTGCAGGCTTCCCTGTTCAGCAGAAGCTGGAAACCGTTCCGATCTGTCGCAGGGCCCTCTCTCTATTAATGAAGTCGGGATTGTGGCTCTGCTCGCTCCGCTGTTAGTTATATATATATATAGTTATATTATATTATATGCACTATATATTGCTGCTAATATTGCTTTCCAGGGCTGCTGCCCAGGGCTGTGCCCAGCCGCTGGTTTTGCCCAGCTGGCGGTCACCGCTCCAAAGCTCGATCTGGTACCTCGCATTCACTGCTTCTGTTCTTGCTGGTGAGTGGAGGGATGGAGGGATGGATGGAGGGATGGAGGGAGGGAGGGATGGGTGGATGGTGACCCAAGACTTTTACCAGCGATGATATCTGATAAGGATGATGCTGGCGGCGGGATGTGACTTGTAACCTGAGCCTCGCACCAGGGGCCCGCGACATTCTCGCGGAGCTCCACGTTGAGACGCTTCGCAGCACGGAGGAGCTCCGCTGTGGTCAGCAACTCGGGACGGAAGCGGGGAGTTGTAGGGAGGCTCTGAAGAAAGTTGGAAGATGCTTCAGAAGACTCACAGACTTTTCGAGCCCGCTCGCGCCGCTGTGACGATGAGAGCATGCAGGACGCTGTCTGTCTCTCTTCTTTGCCTGATTCTTTAAAGACGTCTTGCTTGTTTGCTACTTGCCTGCTGCACCAGTGTTCTTCTCCGGATGCCTGTGCTGTGCTGCCGTAGCGAGCCGCCAAAAGGCTCACGCACGCTCTCACCCGCCAGAGCTCGGCCAGCGCCGCGCTAGCCAGTCAAGGCTTTCTTGATCGCCTGGCGCAAAGCGATTGGAGTACCGCGATTGTTAGCGGCTCGAACTTGCATTTTCGGCGCCTGCTCTGCATCCGAGCAACCTCTCTCCTGGAGACACAAGCAAGGAAGACTCCAGGAGGACAAGAAAGAGAACAGGACACTAGCAGCAGCAACGATCTTCAGGGAGACCTGCGCTGCCCCCAGCCCTCCCAGAGTGCAGTGACATCACAGGAACAGTGGCGAAACAGATGCCTTGAAGAATGTAACTTTCAGAGTCCATTTCAGGGCCCTCTGCCCGGCTCCTCGGCCACCTGCAGCGCTGTCTGGTTCTCGAACTTGAAGCTGAAGGCCACCACGTGAGCCTCCCAAGCCCGGCCAGAACTCTCTCGCAGTCTGGGGCCCCAGAAGCCTCCACAAAGGCCGGGTGCTCCAGGATGGCGCTGCACACGGCACCTCGCCGTAAGGCCGCGGAGCTTCGATGAGCTTAGAGGAGCTTCGGGTGCTCTGGGGAAACGCACCCAGGTTCGACGCCGCTGCCCAGTGCAGCGCGGTCGCCCCCCACTTGTCCTGCAAGCAGAAGGAGTGTGCTAAGCCTTTTCTCGACTCAGCTCGACAAAGCCTTGGAGTTGACTTGCGTGAACTCCGGATGCTCCAGGACAGCTTTGCATACGCTGACCATGCCATTCGAGGCCGCCAGGGACAGGATCGTGTAGCCGAACTGCCAGACATTCCCAGCAATTCATGCCATGCCGCCATGCCAATATGCTCTCCGCTCAGCCTGATCCACCGCATTGACTTCCGTGAAGTCATCCCGATTCAAGATGCTCAGGCAAATATCCTGGCGGCAGCACAGAGCGCTCTCTAGCGAGGCCCGTGGCTTGTCCTGGACTCCCCCGACGTGCCCGGATGTGCCCGGAGCGGGCCGGAGAGCAACGAAAGGCCCCCCTCGTGGGGGCGTTTAAAACGTGCGTCAACGTGAAGGCCAGACCTCAGGTCTTCGCCCTGGCAAAACCGGAATCGCGTGCCTCAATAAGGGAGCCTCAATATGGGAGCCTCCATAAGCCTCTCTAGACTCCATAAAAGCAGTCGTGATCTTTGCAACATGCAGGGCCGTCCAAGCCAAAGGAGCCCTGGCCGCTCCCTTGGCTTCTGAAACCTGTCGAGAATTGCGAGTTCCCATCAGCTGAGCGTCATAGATGCGCTTTTTTAGAAGGCGAAAGAGTTAGAGCTTCCCCCCTGAAATTTGGAAGGGCAGACGCGGTCGCTGGAAGTCACGGCTCTCCCTGGCTTCGCAAACTTCGCACCACACAAAAAAGCATCCAAGCACCACCTCAACGGCGAAGCGATGCGAAGCGAGGCAAAGCGAGCTCTGATGTTTTGGCACCAACGGAAAGCCACGGCGACAGCCGTGAGAAGGAAGCCTGGCCTCCCCTCACACTTGGCAGAAAGCTCTGACGAGAAGCGAACGTGTCACACAACCTACACGGACCTACACTGCAACAGCAACGCCGAACTCCTCCGGCATCTTTTTCAAGATGCAGATGTGCACTGCGGTTCTCTGCTCGGAATCCTGCACAGCACAAGCCAATGCGGTGGAAACTCGCGAACTAGCCTTGCAGGGCCTTGTCATCCATTCTGTTGAAGTCCTGCCGAGCACTGCGAAGAGGTTTTGCCCTAGAACTGTGGTGGCCACTTGCGCGTCCTTGTGCGCCAGCAGTGCTCTGCACTTCTTTTCGTTCTTCTGCCCCGCCGCAGTGACGAAGACTTGCGGCTCCTGGCGAGAGCTCCAGGAGGCTGTCTGCGTTCGGCAGGGCAGAGACTCGGCCTGCACTTCCTGGCTTGTGAGGACGGGCAGGTCCTGGCGACAAGAGAGGAGCAAGAGGAGCGAGAGGAGCAAGAGCAGAGGAGAAGCTCTGCCCGGCCTGCAAGGACGGCTTGCCTTTGGGCATTCCCTTACCACCTTTGGGAGGGAAGCCTTTGCCCTTGACCCTCGAACGAGAAGGCACAATGCCGACTCCGGTTGAGCCAACTGCGGCTTGGGGCCCTAAACCCAACAAAGATTCAAGGCCCGGCACATTTGCCAGGCTCTCGAGTCCAGGGATGTTGGCCAGTGAGCCGGGCGTCAAGCCCAGGCTCGCAAGGGCCGACGCCAAGGCGGGGTCTCCCGTGCCGGCCGTGCCGGGCGCTGCGAGAGCCGGTGCAGCTGCCGCGGCCGGCGCAGTGGCGGCTGGGGCGGCCCCGTAGCCCAGCTGGTTCAGCGCCGCAGCCGCTTCCGCCACCGCCGCCGTCCAGCCACCTCGGTGCGTCAAGACTGGCACACTGTCATCATCACGTGGATGGATCGAAGCTCTAGGGCCGGCGCCGTCGTTCCCGGGGGGTGCAAGGGGCTGCGCCGCAGCGACGGGCAAGCTCGCCTGTTGGAGCGGCAAGGCCGTCGGCAAGGCTGTGGGCAAGGTCGGCAGCGGCAGCAGCTGCCCAGGCTGCGCAAGCCCGAGAGGTTGCCCAGGAAGTGCTCCCGGCCAGGCGACTGGAAAGCCCAGGCCGGGAATGGTGGGAGCCGCGGCGAAGCCTGTACACGCCGTAGCCGCACCTGCAAGAGCAGTACCCCTCGCCCCCTCGCCCCCCCCCCGCCCCATCTTCCATACGCGCCAGGCCTTGCCTGGCGCTGCACCTGGAGGGTAGGGAGCAACTTGAGCGGCGACCTCCCAGAGTCCCGATGCCACTCTGAGCAGCTCTGCGCCAGTCTGAGCTCGCTGCCCCCGGTGGTCTGGGTGCCGCCCCATAGCCAGACATGCTTAACGTCTCAGAATTTCTGACGGCTTGGAGGCTTGGACTTCACCATATCGGGGCTGCATGCGTCTTATCAGTCTGATCACCGACTCAGGCGCTTCTGACAGCTTGTGCTTGGCAAGGTGGCCGCGGTTGTCGTGCAATGAGAACCAAAGCGTCTGCACTCAAAACTCAAAGCACTAGGTCCAGGCACCAGGTTCTGCAATGTTCTGCACATCTCAGGGCTTGGCGTCCTCCTTTCCTTTCCTCTCCTAAGCAGAGAGGCGCGCGGCTTTCTGTTTTTGGAGCCAGAAGCTCCGCGGGCTCCCGGGGCTCCGGCTGTGGTGGCTGCCTGGGAGAAGCAGGGCGCGAAAGACCTGGCACACCGGGGGCTCCCAGGACAAGGCGAAGGCCCCAAAATGAACGGAAGAGGACCCCCGCCGCCTCAGCGCCGCGAGGGCCAGCGCCAGAGCGCAGCCTTTCCAGAGGCCACGGCTCCTCGGCACCATGGCCGCCAGCCGCCAGCCCCAGCTTACACCGGCCAAGAGAGCATCTGCTTGTCTTATCTGAGGCACTCTTTTTCACTGTCACGGCGCTACTGCCCCTTCGAGGTGCGACTCACGTCTCTTGCGTCGAGACTAGATGACTAGAGCGCATGTGACATGCCGGCATTCATGGGCCTGTGAGCCAAGCTCGCGACCCGCAGATTTCAGAACACAAGCCGACGTGGTGCTCACAGGGAAGAGGTTTTATCCTGGCCGCTCCCCTCCATGCGCCGGCGTGTCCATGCGACGGCGCTTGAATTCTTGGGGCGCTTCGCCGCTTTGGCCCTGAGGGCCCTGAGGGCCCTGAGGGCTGCGAGCCGCCTGGAGCGCCAGCAGCACAGCCTTCCGGCCCAGACAGCGCAGGGAGTTCACCTGCAAGGCCCAAGAAGAACAAACGGCGCCGAGTTCGGAAGTGGCGCCTTGTGCCGGAAGGCTCGCCACAGATGCTCCTCCGCTTGCTTAGCCGGTAGAGATGGCAGCTCCTCACGTCAGGCGATCAGGCGCTGCGGTGGAGTTGCGGCGCCTCCCGCAGGGCCTTGCGGATTGCCAGCAGCAGGTTCTGTCGCGTTGCCTCCGGCCGCGGCGAAGTCCGCTCTGGCCCTGACCCTGTCGGCCCCTCCTCGTCGGCCCTCGACGGTTTCAAGGCGTTCAGGGTGTCGTCGAGCCTCAAGACCAACCGCACCAAGGCGGCGGAAGCACAGTCCCAGAGACACGAGGCTCCTCGTCGTCTGCTCTCGCGCAAAGCCGTCGGCGATGAACTCCTGTGGTAGCATTTTCTGACACGAGCAGCCCCTCAACGATGCTTCGCCTGAAGCTCACGAGAGAGGAATGCTAAGTTCCGGCGAGCCAGAGCCACTCGCAGCTCGGGGTCCTGGGCGGTTTTGTCTACAAGTCTGCAGCTTGTTCTACAGGGCAGCCTTCTTCCATTTATCCACACCGACATTCTTCTTCATAGCGGAACTGCATGTGGCTTCACAGGGCTCCGAGCTGCTGTATCCTGGCTTACAAGTGACCTCGGACACCTCAGCTAGCAGCTAGCAGTAGATTGTTTTGTGTTCATGAGGTTGTCCCGTGGCTGCTGTCCTTGCTCTTGAAGCAAAATGGATACAAACGGAGCACTACACGCACACCAACGGCCTTCGATTCCGCCAGAACGCCGAGCACACCCGTCCGTGTGGCTTTGCGGGAATCTTTTCGAGTCTGTTCTGGTTCATTCGACGCTGTAGTCTCGTGCAACAAGCTGCCGGCATTGAGCAGACATGCTTGCACGAAACAGGTCCGCTTGCTTTGAACGGCACTCTCTGAACGACAGAACAACACATCGGCTACACGCCAACATGCAGCTGCAGTAAAGACACCACCGGGCCTGCTTCTTGGCAAGAGCCCAGTGGCGAAGAGGTGAAGGCTCTTTGCAGCCTTTGGCCTCTTCAGCAGGACAGCGCGTCGTTGCCTCACTTCATGGCCTGTTTCAGCCTGGCACACGCAAGCAAAGCACTGTTGCAGAAGGCAGCGCCATGGCATAGCCGGCAGCGACTCAGCAGCACCAGCATTAAATCTGGCTCCGAGCGACTTTGTCCTGAAGTCCTCCCGAAAGGCTTCGACACCGACAGATGGGACGATGACTTGGGAGCGGGCCGCAGCTCAGCGCGTCCTCTTCCGCTCGCAGCCGCTCCTGAGACGCGTCAAACGCTGACGCTTCAGCGGAAAGCCGCGAGGCCAAAGGAAGAGACTTAGACCCTCGAAGAGGGACAAGAAGAGACGGCCGCAGCGTGGCCCCTGGGCCTCGAGGCGCGTCGAGGCCTCCTCCAGGCGGGCCGCACGCTCCGAGGCCTCGCGCCGGAGAGCCTCCAGCGCCTCTCCAGGTTGTCAACACACACGATTTGCGGACAGTCAGAAGGGCTTTTCGAGCATGCATAACCGCAGTCAGTCAGAGAGTGTGTGTGTGTGTGAACTCCTCT